CTCCCCCCCCACCACCACACACACTCTCACAGAACTAACTCCCCCTCCCAGCCCCCTCCCTCTCCCGTGTGTGTCTGCCTATCTCTTCTTATCCGTATCGCGGGGGCATCTGCATGTGTGGGTGGTGGAAGATGGGTGGCATCGGGAGGTTGGGTGTGGAGCCGATCATCCCCGCGGGGGGCGGCGGCCGCACCACCGCCCCCGAAGGGGCCCCTCCAGGTCCGGGTCCTCCCCCCAGCATGCTCGTCGAAGTGTAGCTCACCTGAGACCTGACACAAAGGAAGGAAAACACCGAGAGAGGTACATACCGGTGAGTGATGAGCTGTGTCCCCGCTACTCCCCCCACCTGTTGCTTGCGACACCGCCCGCAGCACCACCCTCTGACAGACACAACAAAGGCAGCAGAGGATACACACCCACCCACATGTGTATGTGTATGTGTATGTGTGTGTGTGATCGATCACATCACATGACGTACGTTGTCCCGATGCTCCCCTTGACTGCGGTCCCTCCTTGAGATTGGCGGTGGACACGGTCTGGAATGGGTCCTGCTGCTGCTGCTGCTGCTGTGGGAGGCGGAGTCCCCCGCTGTGGGGGCTGTGGCGCACACTCAGAGCCTGCGCCGGGGGCAGGTTCTGACGGGCCGTCACGTCGCCGCGGTCAAAACGGCCCTTGAGCAATGTCAACTGATGGAGTGGACACACACACAGACAAACAGACAGACAGACAGACAGGTAGACAGACAGATGAGCAGAGTCGGATGTGTGTATGTGTTGGGGTGTGTGGGGTCTGGTTGGTGGGGTGGGTTGCCTCGTTAGTTGCTCGAGCTAGGTTGGTGTGGAGACCCTCAACTTGAGCCTACAGGTCAAGGCAGATAGATATGGGGAGGGGGTGTGTGTGTGTGTGTGTGTGCGGTGGTCAGTTGCCTGTAGGTGTTCCTGCATCTGAAGTGAGCGCCGCTTATGGCCCTCCAACACACCCAACCTGCACTCACGGACACGACAGCGACAGAAGGCAACAAACATTAGCAGCAGGTGAATGGGTGGGGGGGGGCCTCTCTGTCATTCCTCTCTCTCTCACTTAGATTCGATCTTGTTGATGAGCGACTGCATGTGCTTCCGGTGGTCCGACACGTCATCCTTCGCCTCCTGCACACACACACACACACACACACATAAAGACAGTCTGTCGGGTTCTTTTCATCAGATCAATGGATGGACGGATGGACGGATGGATGGATGGCTGGTTTGGTCTCGGCACCCACCAATATGCCCGCGTCCGTGACCCGTTTGAGGTGTTCGAGCGCCACCTGCAGCTCGCCCACCTTATCAGTCATATTGCCAACCTGCTCAACGATGCTAGACAACTACACATGACCCCCACACCCACACCCCCACACACGCACACACAGAGGGACAAGACACACGAGTGAACCCCATTGCCATCCATCTCATTGTATGTGTGTGTGCCTGGATGTGTGTGTGTGGGTTACTTTGTGGTCGAGTGCCTGTAGGTTTCTGTTAGCGGTTTGGTCCTTGGCGCGCAGTTCGCGGCGGATGTCCTCCCCCTCGTGCCGCAGATGCACCACCGACTGCTTCACGCTACCCAACTCACTCGACAACTGACACAAGACACATCCATAGAAACGTGTGTGCGCCTGTGGAGGGGAGGTGGCTTTTTGGTTGGTAGGCAGGCACCTTCTGCTGGTTGGTGAATTCTCGTTGGTTGAGTGCCTGCAGTTCCTCAGCTACGTCCTGGATGGCCTGCTTGGCCGTCGACACGTCCTCCTTCTCCTGAGCCTCCAAACGGTCCTTCTCCTGACCACCGACAAACACACAACACACCAACACAACACACACATCACAATGAGTCTCCCATCCCAGCCCTCCTGCGAAGGGGTGTACAGTACACCAACCATACATACCTCTGCGAGTTGCATGACTTTGTCCCTGAGGGTCTTGAGCTCCTGCTGCGTCTGGGTCAGAGTGCTCTGCAGGGTGTGCTGGCTGGAGGAGGCGGCCTTCTTGAGCTCCGACAGCGATGTGGCGTGCGCCTGGAGCCCCTCGCGCAGCATGCGAATGTCACCCGCCACGTCTTCCGGCTGAGCCCCCAAAGGAGCACCGGGGTGCGACGCACGAACCTAGTAGGATACATACACAACAACACAACAACACAACACACACAACAGGACCATTGATCAGCCATTACATTACGGCGTTCAGCTCACGTTGATGTTGGGCGCCCGCAAGCCGGTTCCTGAGGTGGATCTGACGACCTGTGCAGGCGTGAATGGCGGGAGTGCGATGGAGCTGGGGGGGCCGCCGGGTGTGGGAGCGGGCGAGCCTCCCGGGCCCGGCTGCAGGCGAAGCTGGGTGGGAGGCAGCGCCACAGGGCGCCCCGGCAGACCGGGCGGCGGGAAGTACATTCTACCTGAACAGACGATGGGGAATGCATGGAATTATGGTCCTTCTTCGTTTCTCCGGTCATTTGCCCTTCCTTACCCTTTCAAGTGGGTCCGCAGAGAGGCCGCTACGTGAACATCACACAACCGACTCGTCTGTTTACACGGCAACTGCGAGCTCAGAAAGGTTGAGCTGAGGAATGTCATGGAATGTCATGCATGTCGAGGCAAGGGCGCGTGCACTTCAGCTACAGCCGCAAACCAGGCAACGATCCCCGTGATCTGCCAGTGATCTGCCGCTCGTAAGGCGCTGACATGCTGTCATTGTGGTCCCTTCAGCGAGTGGTGAGGCTCAAGACATCCGCACAAGACACCCGCCGCCCAGACGCCAGCATCCACCTCGTCGCACGGCGATGCTGCCCCGCCTATGAGCTGCTCGCCGTCGGCCTCAGCACGCCCCACGTGCTCATCCGGTTCTGCTCAGGCGGCAGCAGAGATGCCCTGCTGGTCACTATCGGCCTCCCCGACGACGGACCTCTGTCAGCCATGGACCTCTCGCCCGACGGCCAGATCCTCGTCGGCGCCACGGTGTCGCGCCAGGTGGTGGTCATTCCCGTCATGCAGCACGTGAGGCACCACCTGGCCTCCCACCCTGCAGCGTCGAGGGCGTCTGCTGGCGGGATCGCGGGGCTGCTCTCGTCGTTCACACTCGTGAGGTGGGTGGACAACGGCCTTCCCACGACGGCAGAGATCCGCACCATCGGCGTCCCCTCCCTCACTGCCGATCCCACGGGCGTGTCCTATGCCGTCTGGTGGGCGGCCGACGTGCAGCGCGGCGACAGACAGAGGCGGAAGAGCTCTATTGGTGTCGGTGGCGGCGAGGGGCGTGCCGATTACGTGTTTCTGAGCACCTTTGCTGGTCGGCTGGTGTGCTTCCATCTGGGGACGATAAGCGAGGTGTTTCAGCTGCAGATCCCCACCAACGCGAGCATCGTGTCGATGGAGCTCTGTGAGACGGCTGAGGCCTCCTGGCTGCTGCTCGAGACAGTGAGGGAGCCCAGAATGTGGCGCCTGCCGCTGAGGGTGCCGGGCGGCGGGGAAGGCACAGACGGGGCGCAGTGGATTGTGGAGGGCGACAAGAGGAGGGCCGGCATGCCGCCGTTCGAGTGGGAGGCTGTCAACGTCGCTGCGCAGCAAAAACTTCGCGTGCAGGTGCGCCAGCCTCAAAGGGTAACAAGAGATCAGCAGTCACGCATTTGCTGTGTGTTTGTCGCAGCACCGGCGGCAGGGCGGCAGTGGTGGATCTCCCTCCAGCAGCGAGGCACCTGCCCCCTCCTCCCAGCAGTGTGTGATCGGCTGTCTGCAGCCCTCGTCCAATGAGATCATCCTCTCGCCCCCGTCCATGCCCGACTGCCCTTTCGCCAAGATACCCCTCCCACCCCCACCTGAAGATGCGCAGGCGGGCGTGGCTGCTTCTGGTGCTGGTCGTGGCGGTGTGGAGGGCGGCGTGAGTGTGCAGCTGTACGATGCCGTCATTCTGCGTGGCGGGTGTGTGCTCACCCTCGCCAACGTCAAGGGCGGTAGCGACGGACACACCGTCGTCACACTGTGGACGGCGCGCCCCTCGGCACTGGTATGGTATCATGCGTCGAGATCCACGCCTGCCTGCCCGTTTGTGTATCTGGTGTTCTGTCTGTTGTGCCTGCCCTGTGTGTGATTCACTCAGTCTGATTCCAGCCCCCAGTGGCACAACGCGCGCATCCAGGAGTTCTGTCTGCCGCCGGGGCAGCGGGTGCTCGGCTCCCTGCCGGGCTACGACTACGAGCCAGCCTTCACGGCAGATGACGACAGCACTGAGGGCCGCGATCGCGAGGGCAGCACGTGGGCCTTCCTGTGGACGGTCGAGTGTGTGTATGTGCTGCGGGGCGCGACGGCCGCCATGTGCAGCCAGCTGGAAGAAGCCATGTTCCTCGGAGTCGTCATCCAGGTGCGCATGGCATGAAGGCCGAAAATGGGACCACCCTGACGACTGGCTGAGTACGGTTGATTGCACTCGTGTGTGTGTTTTGTGTTTGTGTGTGCAGAATATTCTTGATGAGGAGTCTGATGGTACTGAGGGGTCGGACACGTCACCCAAGAGCCCACACCCGCCATGGAACGGCCGCACCTCACCCACGCGAGAACCTGCCGCCGACGCCGGTGGGGGCAGCCCTCTGCTCAACGGCGTCCCGGCAGGCGCCGAGGGGACCGTTTCCCCATCTGAGCGGGAAAGGTACAAACCAGGAAAGAGGTGCCGGGAGAGAGAGAGAGAGACCCATGGATGTGTGTCTATCGCCTTTCTGTTGTGTTCGGCAGCCGGCCCAGCCGTGATCGTCGATCGTCCCTGCAGAGGTTCGTTGGTCCTGGATCGCTGCTCGACCTGCAACAAGGTAAGGTACCAAGCGAATGAAGGGAACACCTGACACCTGATATATCAGCAACTCTCCCCTCCCCCTCCCTGTCGGTCTGATGCGTGCAGGCCTTCCCTTGCTGTGTTGGGCGCTTGACCTGGACTTCGATGCCGTCGTCACATCTGGCGGATCGCGGTTCTTCGTGTCCAGCGAAGCGCCAGCCTGGACACCCACCCTGGTCAAGAACCGACTCACCGGACCTAATGACGTCAGAAAATTCGCTCTCGAGGTACATACACAATTCTCCCAGCCGGGACCATAACCACAGCACACCACAGCACAGCACAGCATCTGTCTGTGTGCGATCGATTAGGTGTGGGGGCTGGTTGGCCAAGTATCGCTCGACACGCTCCACCGGACCCTCTTGGCTGTCCCCTGGGAGCCGTCGGCCGCGCCATTCGCCGCTCGGCTGCTGCAGCTGCTGACGGACCACTGGGGGGAGCAGTCGGCCATGCAGCCAGCCAGCCACCGGTGGTACCTCAAGAACATCGCATTCCTCCTCGCACTGAGGCACATCGAAATGGAGAGGGCGCTCGGACGAGACCACTCTGGCCCCCAAGACAGAGACAGTGAGGGCGATCTCCTTGAGTGGGCGGACGATGTGAGCCGGAGGGCGATTGGCGGGGCTGTGGGGTCCGACCCCGACCACCCGTTCAAGTGTTCGTATCCGTTGTACACGGAGTGGGTCAAGAGGGAACTCAGGGCGTGGCGGGCCTCCCAGCAGCATATGGGAGGGGAGCCGGCCGTCCAGCAGCCCTTTCAAGACAAACGGCATGAGGAGGGGGAACTGGATGTTGATGATGTCGCCATGCCCCCACCACTGGAGTTGCCGGAGGGTCGTGTCGGCATCGATGTGTCCGGCGAGGAGGCTGCTGAGCCTCGAACAGAGGTGGAGGGTGGTCCTGCGTCCGCTCCTGCTGCTGCTGAAAGCGCCGAGCTGCGAGACGGAGAGCCGCCCTTAGGCAAGAAAGGTGAGTGAGGAATCGACGATGCACAGACAGATGTGGCGGGACGGACGGGCACAATGATGGGGTGGACGTTCCTTCAGTTGTTCACTGGCCTGACGATCTCGATCGCACCATGTCGCTGCTCCTGCCCTTCAAACTCCAGTAAGTCAGTACATACTTGAGCCACACAAGTCTGTCTCATGAGGCACAAAGAAAGATGCCCTGCCCACTGAGCAGCGTCTGTCTTATTTGATGTGATGCAGGGTCCTCTCCCATTGCCGCGGCGGCCGGTCGCACCGGAAGTTTGAGTACACGCCGGCCACGACCGTGCACCTGGTCAGGTGCATCTCCCGCTCAGTCGCCCAGAGCCTCACCGCCCCCGATGAGAGTCCCCAAGCCTCCCTGGGCCCCCTGTTCTTCGGCCTCTTCTGGGAGCTCCTGACGCACCGCAACCATGATGCGGGTGACGATGCATTGCGTGGATATCGCTACGACAGGGACGCCTCTGACGAGCACCGTGTGCTGCCTGACGGGCGGCCACAGCTGATGGAGGCAGTGGACCTGGCGAGACAGCCGCTGCATCTGGTGCTGCTAGCCGTGGTGACACTGGTCAGCTCTCTCCGGGATATAATGGCGACTCTGATGAAGGCGGAACCTGACACCTCCGGCGCCGCTGCCGTCGAGGGCCTGGTCCGTGTCACTTGGGAGGCCCTCTACGCCTTCTTCTGCTGCTGGAAGCTGGCCATCGCCGACACCCCCTGTGCCCTGCACGTCAAGGGCGTCCGGGCGTCGTCTGAGGGGCAGGAGGGAGCTTCGTCACACTGTATTCACACGTCAGCCCTCGACCTGGTGCATGGAGTCGCCAGAAGGCCCGACGCTGCATCATCACAGAGGCGGCCGACAGCACTGGTCACTTCCAGCGACCGTGTGGCTGAGGGAGCGGAGAATGAGGGGGCCAGGCTCGTCAGAGTGGTCCCGAACGCTCTGGAGACCTTCATCGCAAGGCACTGCGACGGGCCACCCTCCCCTCACCAGTCGCCTGCCGATCCGGCTCTCGACGCCATGGCCCTCTGCATACCCCATCACATAGACGGCACACATGAGGGTGCTGAAGGCGACGGGCGGCCGTCAGCCTCCCTGGGTCAGTCGTTCGCCGCCTGCAGCAGCGACAGCCACAGCATGTGGTCCAGCAGCTCTGTCACCGATGAGGAGGAAGACGATCGCCTGAGCGCCCTCGACCATGACGGCGACAACACGGCCGCCAGTGGGTACGCCACCCCCTCCCATACCCCTGCGGTGCTGAGGCGGATGCGGCGACATCGGCCGATCAAGGGGGGTGCAACGAGTCTCAAGCAGGGGTTCGGGGTGAGGTTGGAGGCGACGCCTTTGATGGTGCTCTATGGCCTGCAGCACTTCGTCATGAGCAAGTGGCCGGCGGGGGTCGATCAAGCGGCTGTAGCTGACGGAAGTCCACCCTCGTCGGTTGATGCAGTGGCTGCGGTGGATGTGGGCGACTGGATGGATGCTGTGGGGTCATGCAGCGACAGAGAGGCCCTTCGGTCCCTCTGGGAAGGGTCGGCTCGGTCGGCGGTGTCTGTCGAGAGGCTTCTCGGCACCCAAGAAGCTGCAGGCAGCGACGGCAGGGCGTGCGAAGGGTGGGATGTCACATCCAACAGGGTGCGCAGAGCCCCCACACACACTTGCGTAAGAGATCTTTTGTGTGCCTTGCCCGTTCAGGCGGCGTGTGATGAGGGCGTCCGTGAGCTGTCGCGGGTGTGGCGGTGCGGCCTCGGCGAGTGTGCCGGGTTCAGTGGGGGGATGCTGCTGGCCTGGATGGTAGGTGAAACCACCCACCACCACCCACCATCCACAGCTACTGACTATGTGTCTGTGTGAGTGTGTCTTTGTCGGTCAGGCGTGGAGGCATCCGTGGCTGTTCAGCGATCTCCCATGGACGCCACATTTCCGACTCTACCTCACTCATGTGAGCAGCCGAGCACCCCAAGCCACCCACCAGTCAGAACGCCCCTGACTTCCTGTGTGGCTGGTGGGTTGTGTTCAGTGGAAGCGGCGTGTGTGTTCGCAATGTCGATGTGACTAGAGGCGAATGAGGATGTGGCGTGGCTGGCGTGTGGTGGTGTGTGGCCTTCCTTGTCTGTCTTTATCTATCCGGCTTCCATCGAGTGTGTGTAGCTGAATGTGTTTGTCGTCTTGGTGGTGTGTGTAGATAGTGAGTGGTTGGTACTTACTGAGTGGTGGGTGACGGTATGTGCATGCTGAGGCGATGCGTCTCTTACCGATAAATGAGGCAACGTCGGCCCTGTATCACAAGTTCTGTGATGCAAGGCCAGCCTTGCCACACCGAGCGGTAGGGACGCACGCGCAGCTGACTGACACATATAGGCTTGGAGAGGAGAGCTACCTCGTGTGATTGTGTCACGTCGCTCTTTCGGCTTCAATCGATTGGTCTGAGTGAGATGAGTGGGAGGCAGAGGCCAGCACTGACTCCCGGATGGACAGGCAAACAAAGTGCATCCAAGACGCGTTGACGCGTCCTTGATGCTCTGAGTCTGCCAGTCCATCGGTGAGGATTAGTGGCCCCCTGCCGCTCTGGTAACTAACGGTTGTGATGACTGTCCATTCATTCATCTGGCTGACGTGATTTGGTTCACATCACACATGCATCAATCACATCACATCCATTGTCCATCCGTCTCAGCAACACACAGCTGTACTGTACACGCAGAGCAATCGCGTCAGGCAACACGCTGTGCTCATGTAGGCACCCATTTACAAACATGGTGGAAAATCTCACATGCTCGTCTACACACACACATGCGGTTTTCTGTTCTTCACACCACACACGCAGGCAGGGAGACACAGCCGGCACCCTTTCCTTGCACAAACACGCCCAAGTCCATGCGAAAGCCGGTGGCGGACACCGAAGTCCACCCGATCGACCATGTCGTCTCTGTCGTCGTGCCTGCACCTGCCCTTGCGACGCTTCACAACACTGAACCAAAGCGGCTCTGCCGACCGGTCGGTCGGCTGCTGTCCTCACTGGTCTCTGGGCGCTGACGCGTGTCGTTCGTCAGGGCTCATCAGTGGCTCGGCAGCCTCATCAGCAGCAAGTCCACCATGCCTCATCACCTTGCGCACCCGCCGGACCGCCTGCCGCACCTGTGATGTGATCGTGCCGATGTCAAGTGCCACGAGGACAGCACTCGAGACCATCCCGACTGCAGCCACACCAGCCAAGGTGAAATACATCTGATGGATGAGAGGAATAATTATTCGAGCAGGCAGAGGCAGCTGGGCTGCATGTAACGACGTTGTGCAGGGTGGGTGGGGGGGCCTGCTGTTCACTCACCTTTCGGATTTTCGCTTCCTGCAAATGGTGTTCCTTGACAGTGAGCAGCACCGCCACGGTGACAACAGTGGCCGGAAAGTGAAACAGCTTCTGGATCGTCAGCCTCCCTATCACAACAACCACAACCACAACCACACACACACTTGCCCCTGCCCTCCCGGCTACGTCTGTTCTTCTCTGTCTTTCCCCTTGTATACCTTGTTGTGGGAGTGTCAAAGCGCGGAGATTGAAGAAAGAGGTGTAGTGCATCCCAGCACAGAGCTCCTGCAGAAGGATAGCCGCCAGCCGGCTGGCCTTGCTCGAAGCGAAGCCCGCCAAAAGGTACGCACACACCAGCACCGTGTTGTAGATGCAGGTCGGCACTGTGATGACCGCCCTGTGCTCGTCGGCGTGGGCGGTGTCCCCATCAGCATGCTCAAAGAGAGACGATATGTGCCCGCCGATCCCCACAGCGACCATCATCGCGGCAAACAAGATTCCCACCTCGGTGTCTGGCGGGAGGGAGGGGGTCCACAGGAAGATAAACACGTAGAGGGCGGAGTCGAAGCACGTCTGGATGACGCCGACACACGCCACCTGCACACACACACACACACACGCGCAGTATGAAAGACCAATCAATGGACGAACTGTGTGTCTGGCGGAAATACTGCAGATGCTTACACGTGTGTCGGTAAGGGGCACCATCAGCGCGTTTCTCACCATCTCCCAGAAGTGATGCAACTCATAAGAGTCCTCGTCGCGACCGTGATTCTCCCCCCACGAGAAGCAGATGATGCATCCCGACACCACCAGAGCGAGGATACCCAGATAAAAGGGCGCCAATATATCGCCCGTCGTGTGCACAGCGCCCCAAGCGGCCAGGCTGGCCACGATAGCGTTCAAGCTGTTGCCGGCTGTCATGTGCACGTATGTCTGCATCAGCAGCGCTGGCGCGTACGCTCTGTTGAGGTGTTCGGTGGCCATCCAGGCTTCGAACACGTTATAGAGAATCATGACGGACATCCCAGACAGCAGACGCCCGACGAGCAGCAGCCAGAAGTTGTCCAGCAGCATCAGCAGACAGCTGGCCGAGTAGAGTACGCAGAACAAGACGCACGTGGCCCGCCGACCTGCATCCACCACACAAGAGCAGACCATGATGCAGTCCGAGGGGCGGCTTCGCGAGGCCACGTGGGGTGTGGTGTGTGTTCTTCGAACCGACCGAAGTGGTCAGCCAGTGGCGCGACGATGAGTGATGCGGCTGCCTTGAGTTATCAAACAAAATCAACGGGAAGCAAACATCGGTTGCGTCAGAGTCGGCACGAGTGGATTCAGGGTGGGATGGCTTACCATGGCGGAGTATCCACTCACGTAGAGGTGACTGATGCTCTCCATTCCATGAGGCAAGTTCTTCGCCTCGTATACGCGATACAGGTACGGCCCTTGTACCTGGTCCAAAAATGATGCATCACGCGTGCGTGTCCTGCCTGTGTTTGCGAGATCCATCAGTGGCCACTCACCCAATCAGAGAACATTCCGGCGAGATAAGCTGCTATGAATGCCAGCTGGAACCGTTTGAAGCCTTCCCTCCCCTGGCCTTGGAGCACATCGTCCTTGCGGCTGTCTGCATGCACACCCGGTGCACCGGAGCAGAGGCGCGAGAGCCACTTGATAGCACAGATGACAAGCACCACACCGCATAGCGTCAGAAAGGCCGCCGTCTCAGACTTCTGGAGCTGATTCGATAGATCAAATGCCATCGCAGGCCGTCACCTCTTCACTGAACCTCCTCCATTCTGTTGCCGCGATGCTGGTCCTTGTCAAAGGCGTTTGGATCGTTGTGTGAGACTGGGGGCGCGAGCTCAGCCCGCATCCCTCGAGAATCTCATCCTTGCTCAAGCCCTTCCCCGCTGCGATGGACGTTGCGCGCGCCGCTTCTGCTTCCGCCGATGGCGAGAGCTACGAGGAGGAGGAGGAGATCATCGAGGAATCCATCCCCACTCTCCCAGATGTGCTGGTGCGCAGAGCCGACCTCGACGACGCCTACGCCGTGGCGGCCCTCCTGCAGGCAGTGCAGCAGGGCCCGCCCAACACCGAGGCCACCACTGCTGGCAGCGACCCCGTCCGGTCCTTCCCCCACTTCGGTCTGCAGAGCACGTCGAGCGACAGCATTGCAAAGACCATTGAGACGGCCTTCCTGTCGGTGGTGGCCGAGGACAAGGAGGGCCACATGGTGGGGTTCTGCTCGCTGGAGGAGAAGCCGCCCGTGCTGGGTGCGGGGTATCTGGCGTCGGAGGATGAGTTTGACGACAGTGAGGAGCGGCGGCTGGGTCGGCTGCAGCAGCTGAGCCAGTGGGAGCGGCTGTACAGCGAGTGGGTGGATGAGGACAATGTCGAGGAGGGGCCGGAGGTGCGGGTCAAGTCCAAGAAGGACGATGAGGACGACGCGCGGCCGCCGCTGCCGAAGAGCAGGACTGTGCCCACCAACTCGCTGTGGCTGACCAACTTTGTGGCCCAGTCGGGGTATGAGCACGACATACTCCGGAAGATGATCAGGGCCGTTCTGGCCACACGACCCGAGACACACAATATTCTGCTCTTTGTCAAGTACGGAGGAGGGAGGCGATTGGTGTCTCCTCCCCGTCTGTCTGTCTGTCTCGCTTACTTATAGGTATGTCTGCGTGTCAGGTTTGGTGAGGAGGCTGAGGCGCTGCGTCTGTGTCACAATGTGTTTCACAACCTGCCCATCCGGGATGAGCCCAAGATGCCCCCAACCGTCTCCTCGTTCGACGCAACTCCCAAACCTGAAGGCACGCTGTGGAGGTCAACTCAACTCAACACACACATAAAGATCTTGACGGGAGGAGAGAGCGACGGAGCGAGCCGCGCATCGCATCGCACACGTGTAGATGTATGTGTGTGGGTGTGTTGGTCGTTGCAGATGTCGGCGCACCGCGCCGTGGTGTGTGCCGCCTTTGTACGTCCGTATAGCTGAGGTGGAGGACCACGATGAGCTGGTGGACGTCTTCGACAAGCAGAGCGAAGTCATCACACAAATCTACGGCGACTACTTCATCGCCGAGCTCATCGAGGGCCAGAACAGCGACAACCGTGCGCTGGTGGCGGAGGTGGACGGCCGTGCTGTGGGGCTGATGTGCCTGACGTCCGACGTGGACATCAACATCCTCTCCCAGTGCTTCCAGCTCGAGCCCTTTGACAACCTCGTCAGACCGCAGTACATGGACCGAATCAGAGACAGACTCGTAAGCCAACAAGCCTCCCTTCCCCCTTCCACCATACGCCTCTGTCTCTCTCTCTCTCTCTCTCCGGATGTACTGATCAGCAAGAGATCCAGCTTCGCGACGAGGGTGTGATGGAGAGCGACGAGGAGGACAATGACGATGAGGGGTCGTTCGAGGGCCGGACTGACATCCCCGAGCCTGCGCCGGGCGATGCGCTTCTGGCGGCCTTCAAGTTGGTGGAGGAGGAGGAGGAGGGCGGCATCGAAAAACTCATCGAACGGATACCACGCAACGACGAGGGACAAATCAGTGCGGTAGGGGGCTTGGGTGGGGGCGCACCGGAGGGAGGTGTCTCTGCCCTTCTGCTGTTTGTACGTGTGTGATGTCTTGTATGTGTGTGTGTGTGTGTGTGCAGGTGAGCATGTTGCAGACGCTTCAGATGGTTGATTTGGGTGAGGAGATCGCCGACCAGATCGACTTCGCCGACTCACTCATGCTCATACTCTGGCAGGTAGGGAGGGATGGGGGCAAGCTAAGCTACACACATCCATCCATCCATCCATCCACGCCCGTACGACACACGGACGGGGTGTGGTGTAGGTGGCCTTCACAGAGCCAATGCTCGACGGCCAGTCCATCGTGGAGCCCGAGCGCGTCGTCAGCGCCATCCATACCTTCCAAAAAGTCACACTCACAGAGGTAGGCCAGGCAGGTACGCTGCACATAGGCACAATGACATGACACACACCAACCAACCAACCAACCACCACTCACATCCCCTGTTCCCTCCCCTCCACTCAGCGCAAGCGCCTCGGCAAGCTGCTGCTTGAGCGGTGGTCCGACGTGGAGTCGGCGTATGAGGCAGTGGACGACACCAAAGACACCACGGCGGCCATCGGTGACGACAGCCCTGCTGCTGCTGCTGGTGGTGGTGGTGAGGGCAGCCCCGAGATGCTCACGGACGCGGCCAGGGAGGGAGGTGGGGGTGCGTTGGAGGACGAGGGCGGCCGTGAGGAGGAGGAGGAGGACGAGGCGGAGGGTGCGAGGATCCTGCTGGTGCTGCTACGGCTGGGTGACAAGGGGATCCTCACACACGAGGAGATAGTGCATTTGGTGGCGGCCTTTCACTGGTGGGGGGACATCTCCATCCTTTACCCCATCTCACGGGCGTCACTGAAAACACTCAGGGTGAGTCGGGGCGGGGCGGGGGAGACAGCGCCCCGCAGTGTCCGTTCATCTATCTCACTGTGTCTCTGTTTTGTATTGTATGTGTGTGCCTGTGTTGTGTGTCAGGTCACGTGTGAGCGTCTGGCTCGTGGCGAGGAGGAGTATCTGCTGCTGCACCACGGCAGCCCCATGTGGCTCACTTTCGTACCCGACGAGGAGAAGAACGCATTCTGCATCAACCTTTTCGGACTCGAAAGCACGGTAGGTAGGTACGGTCGGTACCTATGCGACCGACCGACCAAGTGGTCACTCACTCACAAACACGCCCCCTCCCCGTGCGGTGTGTGCCCTGCGGGTGTGCCTTGCCTGCAGCACCAAGCCCAGGCCGTCGATTTCCTGCAGCCCGCCTTCTCGCTGTACCCGACGAAGGAGTACTGCATCCTGACGCAGCCCACCACGGCGCCCCCCTCCCCGCTGCTGGCCGCTTTCTCCCTGATCCCCGCCCGTCCCACGAGCACCTTCAGCCACGCCCTCTACCTCCTCCACAGGTCCGCCCTGCTGCACATCAGCCCGCCCATCGTGCGGCCCATCGCCCCCCCTGACCTGAGGGAGCTCGACATCCTCACCAGCGGGCTGAGCGAGGACATACGCGACTGCCTCTTCGACATTGCGCATGAGCTCCTCTACATACCCAGGACAAAGGACACAGAAAGAGACAAAGACAGAGAGGAGGAAGATGGCAATGATGACGGCGAGGAGGGAGGGGAGGAGGAGGGAGAGGGAGAGGACGGTGCAGCTGAAGGGGGGAGAGAGGGGCGGAGTAAGAATTCTGGGAGTGATTTGGCACCCTTGGAGGTATCGGGCGGGCCGGGCTCGGCGGGCAACCCGCACCGCAAGATGCTGGTCGTGTTTGTGGAGGGACAGCTGGTGGCCATCCTGGAGGCCACGCGCTTGTCTGCCGTCGAGATCGAAGCGTACAAAAGGTGGGTGATCAACACACCAATTCGCCGGCCACAAGACATCCCCTCTCCGTCTCTGCGTGTGTGCGTGTGTGCGTGACGACCACCTCAGCCACTACTACGTTGAGGATTTCTTCATCCCGGACTTCTACGCTCCGTCGAGCCACATCCGTGTGGACCGCTGGCTGCTGAACCCCGCCTTCCAGCCGCTGATCCGCACAATACTGCGGGAGACACTCAGGTGGATGGGCGGCAGTGTGCTCTACATGGAGCAGCCCATCGACTGCCCCGCACCCCCCGTCATCTCGGAACTCATACAGGTGCCTTAAGGCCTTGCTGTTTGTTTTGTTCTCAGTGAGAGAGCAGATGGGACAGACACGTGTGTATGTGTGTGTGCAGGTGGCCCCACGTCACTTCCCCACGCTTAAGAAGCTGGAGACGGGCTACATCAGCGGCAAAAGCAAAAACAAGAACCCTTACGTCACCAAGGAACCTTTCGCGAGTCAGTCAGAGAACCAGCCAAACCGAGCTGACGGACACGAGACAGGAGACACACGACACACAAGCCTTCTCCGGTGTGTGTATGTCTGTCAGATCAGTCTCCCGCTGACTTGAAGGGTCTGCTTGCGACCCGCTCAATGGAGTTCGAGCGACACCAGTACCTCAAGCAGCAGGCGGCCCTCTACTATGACGAGGAGTCGGGCCAGGCCACACACCAGCTATACCAACACAGGGGAGCCTCACTCGTCCCCAAGCGGCTACTCAGCGACCGCAAGCTGCCCGTCACTGCACGGATTGTCGTCGTCGGCGCGTCGGACGCAGGTGCGAATGCATTCGTCGAATGCGCTCTGATGACATCCATTATTCCATTTGTGTGTGTATTGGGTTGGGTTGGGTTGGGTGTTTATATGTTATGTGCAGGTCTGTCTGTGTTGGAGTCTCTGCTGTCTCTGCCGCACCTGTCGTTCAAGTCCCTGGCTTTGCTGGCGCCCGGGGGTCTGCCATACGGCGACACCCAGCACTCGCCACTGCTCGCATCCAGCGGGGCCTACAACTTCGATGACCTCAGGTGCACACACAATTCCGTCCGTATACATACACACACAAGGGTGCGGTGCCCACCTTCACACTTGTGAGTGGAGTGCAGGCTGCAGCTGTTTGAGTTGCGTGTCCGTGTGCTGGACTCCCGCATGGTGAGCCTCGATCGCAAGAACGGCACTGTGGGGCTGCAAGACGGATCACAGCTCCCATACGACACACTCGTTCTCGCCGCAGGACTGCAGGTTTGTTATGGCAGCCAGCCAGGCCACCCACACACGCACACACGATGGATGCGGGATGTGTGATGTGTGGATGTTATGTGAATGAAAGGACGATGCGCTCAACGCCATGAAGATCCGCAGCTGGGGCATCGAGACGGGACCGACAGGGCCGTTCGCAGTGCGCGAGCCGTCGCCGTACAGCCAGCCGATGGGCGAGGGCCACTCGGGCGCCACTGGTAAGGCGTCCGACGTGCCGCTGCCCGAGGGCTTCAGGCGGCTGAATGGAGCCATCTCATCCGCAGACCCCACACTGAGGGAACTGCTCATTGAGGGAGGTGGGTGAGCAGAGAGAATACAGAACAGACAGGAGGCTGTGGATGGATAACAATGTCGCCTGTGTGTGTGGGTGCGGTGCAGGTGTGTTGATGAAGAGTCTGATATGGAATCCGCTGTCCTACGCCGTGGTGTACGGGAGGTCCCTCGACGCCTACTGCCTGGTGCAGGGCCTGCTCCTCAGGAAGGTCCCACCCAAGAAACTCATTCTCGTCCTGCCACCGAGGTGGGTGCGCCCACCATTAATGCACAGGACACAGCCCACACAATGCAGTCACCCTGACCTGTCCCCCCCCCCGTCCCCACCTCTCACCCACACAGAGAGGAGGACCTGCCAGCGACCGAGCTGGCCAGCCGGCCACAGCTGGCGTGTGAGGCCTTCCGTCGCGGAGATGCTGTTGAGCAACGTATTCACGAGCTGCTGAGCAACCTTGGTGTGAGGGTGCTGGAGAACTTCAAGCTCTGCGGCGTGCAGCAGGACCCCAGGCAGCGGCTCAAGGGCATCATACTCGAAGACTACAACCTCACGCTGGTCAGACACCCACCAACCCACCAAGCCACCCACCAGCACACAGAAGGGAGGGACAAGATGACACGTCTCCCTCTCTCTCTCTCTCTGTGTGTCAGGATGAGGCGCGCACTGTGGCCGAACAGCTCGCATCCGCCGATGCAGAGGACAAGGGCGGCTCCAACGTGCCCCCTCCATCGGGATTCGGCAAGTCGGCCCCCCCTCCCCCGCCCCAGGACAAGAAGCGCCACGGTGGCAACCAGCTGGAGCTGCTTGACTATGACATGTCGGTGGGGCGGGTCAGGAGAACGCTCGCCTGTCGGCTGCTGGTGACGGCTGACGCTCGCAACGTGGACCCCGATGTGTTTGCGGCCGTGCACAGCAACGGGCTGGTCTATGACGGCAGACTCATCGTAGACCACACCTTCAAGGTCAGGGCGCACTGGACCATGCGGTGCTGGCTGGTTCTGGCGGTTGATAGATGTGCTGTGGGGTGGTGTAATGTGGGTGTGTGTCAGACGACGGACGAGAAGATCTACGGCGCCGGCAGCCTGTGTGAGTTCTGCCGTCGGTACCGCGTCAGGCGGGACGCTTCGCTCAGACATGACGGATTCAACGGACGAGAAGTAAACAAAACAAGCACGGGAAATGTATGTATGCGCCGCATCCTTCTCTCTGGTGTCCCGTCCTCTGCCTACCAGATCGGTCAGCGCCTCGCCGAGTCCCTCTGTCGGTACTGCGACCCCATCTACGGCGACCAGCCGTCCCTCCTGCGTCAAGACCCCCGCCTCATCCTCCAGACCCCTAGGCGAGAGGGCGCCATCACGCCAGGCTCTCGGGCGGGCCACCGCTCCCCCCGACCCCCCTCATCGGCCGACGCGGGGAGGCTCGCGCGTATCGGCAGCGACGAGCTGCCGCAGTTTGGTCTGCCCGTGGGGCGGTGTGGGCTGCTGCCCGGCAACCTGCACTACTACCACATCAGGGGCTGCAAACCAGACCTCAACGCGTATGCCTATGTCACACATAAGAGAGAGAGAGAGGGAGAGACCACGACCATTTGTTGTGGTGGGGTTCAGGCCGGTGTCTCGCGAGCTGGAGCACCAGCGTGCCGACGGTGAGGAGGAGATCACGACCGACACGCTCAAGGTGCAGCTGCCGGGCCATGGGCACAAGTCGGACAGGCAGGCCGAGGGCGAGGGCCACTTCTGCAGAGCCGCCGTCGACAAACTCGGCAGAATCGCTTCACTCACATACATCGGTATTGAGGACCGACAAGTCAATCGTCCAGTAGGCCGTGTCTCTTTCATGTGTGTGTTTGTGTGTAGGGTTTGAGGAGTTGGAGATGCCGTCCCTCTGGAGTTTGGTTGGTCTGTCTCTTGCGTACTTCAACAACCTCAAGGCCCGGCACGCCACGGGGGACATCCCCGACCTTGTCGACTTCCTCTCAGAGGGATGGGCCACCGCCCTTTTCCATGACGGGTGGGTGGGTGGTGGGTGGCCAAGCAACGTTTGTCCCAATGTGATGTGTGCTGTGCTGCGCTTGCAGGTTTGCGGACATGTGGCAGCGGCTCAAGGCCGAGATCGCGCAAATGCCCGAGATACAAGCCATCCTCTCAAAGGTGAGCCACAGAGACGGTCGAGACTGGCTGTGCGTCTGTGGCACCTTTCACTCATCGTTGGATATCGGATGGATCATCAGGCCCTGGCGCCGTTTGCGTTGCCCGCGGAGCCGACAGTGGAGACGGTGCGGCCACACTTGCCCCCGGCCACTTTGAATGAGCTGCGGAGCCAGTTCCCTGCGAGCTGCAGCAGGGCGGTGGAGGACTCTTTGCTGGCTTACCTGAGGAGACACACCAACCACATGAAGGACTACTTCCTGCAGGAACAGTGGTCACAATGACAAATGACATGGTCGAGGGGCTTGTTGCTCTGAGGGGGGGCGGGGGGCGTGGACCTGTGCCGCTGGTTGAAAGACATCTATTTGGCCATCCATGTTTGAGCTCTTTGTGCAGTTGTTGAGCACTCGCAATGTAATGCATCTGTTGACAGGAAGACAGACAGACACTGTTGCGACTGACTCGCCGACTGTCCCATCCATCCATCCATCCATCCATCCATCGAATCGATGGCAAGTAGCTATCGACGTACGGCGGGCAGGCAGGCAGGCAGGGAGGGAGCACGGTAGACGAACAACTGAACAACCCTTCCCCTCCCTCAGACCCGACAATGTTTGTTCTCAGCCCAGCCCCCACAGATACACCGCTGACAACAAAACAAATGCCTGTCTCCTCTTCTTCCCCCCCAATGCCCCCAATGCACCTTGTATGGATGGCTTCATTCACAAGCCACCCCACCCAGTCCCACCCAGTCCCGTGGATCGATCAGTCACCACTCATAGGCCTTCCCCACACAGTCCCTCTTGTAGTGGCTGCACCCCCCACACCCAGCACCGGCACCGTGGCCATGATGGTAAGGGGATGATGACGGGTAGTCAGCCCCAGTGCGGAAGTAGTCCGCCTCACTGCACCCCCCCACTCCCACCCCCACTCCCCCCCTCCCCTCATACCCCACAGCCCCCAGACTCGACTTCCGATAGCTGCTCATGCGGGCCAGCAGGTCCCCCGACTCGTCCGTCTTGCGCGTGCCGTAGATGGGCAGGCCGCAGCGCGTCCCGTCGGGTGACCGTTGAGTGCCGTGCAGGAAGTCCCGCCCATAGTCCCATGAGGTCGCCTCCCATCTGTCGGAGCCGGCGTATCGGCTGCCGGGGCCGATGTCCATCATGAGGGATGACCGGGGGCGGGGTGGAGGGATGGGGTCTTTTGACTGCACGAGACAGACAAGGAGAGAATGGGGGACCTTCTCCCTTTGTGTGCTTTGTGTGTGTGTGTGTGTGTGTGTGTGTGTGTTGCACGCCCCCCCCACCGACTCCGACTCACCCAGTGCGGATGGTCTCTGTCGTATCCTTGTTGGTCCATGGCCGACGTGAGGAAATGCTGCCGGTTCTTCGGAGGCATGAAGTGGTAATCGCCGATGTCCTACAACAGACACAAATCATCCACACAGATGTCAGGCGTCAGTGTCTCTCTGAGACTCGTGGGGCCGACCTGATAGGAGGTTTTCCAAAGTTTTTCTTGCAGGCGACTGAGGTTATAGTGCCGCTCCCCAATCTTGGCGACGCCCCGACGGTCAACCTGACGCCCCACACACGAACACACTGTGCAGCCGGTGCCGCAACTGGGTCAGGGCTTCCCTTCTTACCCGGAGGTCATCCAGCTTGAAGTCATCGACCCCAGGAAGGAAATAGTCCGAGCGGTACTTGTATGACATCTCTGTCAGGTTTGTGACCACCACCTCCCCTCCATAAGCTCGCCATTTTCAAGCTCGCATATCCGGGTTCTGGCGGGCATTTTTCGACGGATTGCTGCCCCATCGGCCTCTGTGACCTCTGCATCTAGCGATGTGGAGATCAAGATTCACGCTGGGCGCGTTCCGCGTGTCACAGCCGTTATGGGCAGGCGGCAAGGCGAAGCCGGGCTGGACGGTGCCGCCCGACCAGATGTTCCATCCCCAGATCCCCGACAGGCACTTCTACGGCGACCACTGGTTCTACCACGGCTTCACTCTCTTCTTGCGAGGCGTCCGGCCCTACCTCGAGAAGATCGGCCGCGACACCATCAAGACGGCCTGGTACCTCGGACATGATTGCCTCTACTTCCCCCTTCAGCAGTTCGTGTCGGCGCACAATCCTGACGTCAGATATGTAAGCTGATCACTCATGTGACGTGACGTGGAGGGAGACGGCCTGCTCTGTGTGTGTGTGTGTGTGCAGCTTGCGATCATGAGCATCAGTGCATTGGTGGTGTATTGGGATGTGGGGCACAGGCTCTACTACGAGCCGCCGAGGGCACTCCAGGTGCGAGAGATAGATACAAACACACTGGGTGGGTTTGTTTATGTGCGATCACGACTGTCGCTGTGTTGGTTCGTTCGTCAGAATCTGCGGAATGCGGTGTCGTTGGCGGAGGCCGACAGGCTGGACAAGGAGGGCTTCTGGGACTCCAATTCAGAGACGCAGGAGAAGAAGGTACAAGACGCACGCAGACGCCCGCACCACAGCGCAGGTCAACGATACGTCTTCCCCGTATGCTGCGACAGATCCAGAAGTACAACATGGAGCACCAGCGGCTTAATGCACTCTGGTGGGGGGGGGGGGGGGGGGGGGGGGG